CTCAGTATCATCAGTAAGCTTTTTGAAGCCATAATTAATAAGAAAGTCGTAGAGCACATAGAAAAGCACAAACTCTTCAGCGACGAACATCATGGATTTCAGTCGGCCCGATCCACTGCCGACGTCCTAACTACCATCACTCACAGAATCAGTGAGTCTCTTGACGACAAACACACCACGAGGACCATTGCACTAGATATCTCAAAGGCCTTCGACAAGGTGTGGCACAAAGGCTTACTACACAATCTCTCCAGTTATGGAATCACTGAAAGGGTCTTCTCGATTATAAAATCCTTCCTAACAGGTAGATCCCTGAAGGTAGCTATCAATGACTAGTCCTCCGGAGCCTCAGAGGTCAACGCACGCGCCCCCACGGGCCACTCGTCGGATCAACCATCTTTTTGGTCTACATAAATGATCTCCCTAATTATACACTCAGATCATTTTAAACATCTATGCCGATGATACTACTATATACGGGTAAACCTCTAAAACTCTCGATGCTCAGAGATTGAACTCTCTTGTACAAACTACCCGATGTGGTAAAAACTGGCTGGTTACATTCAATACCTCGAAGTTCAAGCTAGTTACATTCCATCATTGTCGATCTGACCTCAAACTACTAGCAATCAAGATGAACGGTCCTCTCGGGGAAGCACCGTGCCTTGAAAGAAGGTTGGGCCTCAAACTCACACCCGACCTGAAGTAGAACTCGTACATACAATCCATTGTTAAGGATGCAGGTAAAATGGTCGGCTGTTCGTACCGCTTCAGTGAGTACCTGGGCCCCTCCTGCTATCCTCTAACTTTAGAAGAGCCAGATCAGATCAGAAATGGAATACTGTTGTCATATTTGGGCGGGAGACCAGACCTCACTCCTAAGCCTTGTTAGAGTTCAAAAGCGTCTCCAAGCGTTAGTGGGTGACGAACTATTCTCCACCCTTCACCTCCTCTCTCTCTCTCTCTCTCTCTCTCTCTCTCTCTCACACACACACACACACACACACACACACAGAGGCGGTATGTGGCAAACCTCTCACTGCTCTACCGCTACTTCCACGGAATGTGCTCGAACAAAGTACATTCCCTGGTCTCGCAAAGGCAAACCTTCGCAGCAAAAGCACGCCATGCCACTTACAGAGAAGCAAACCATCCACATTCCCCCCGTATTCCATCGATGAGAAGTTCCACTCGAACAGCTTCTTCCCGCGCACCACTGCCCTGTGGCACCGACTCCCAACAAGATATTTCCCCGATCACTACAATCTTAACCTGTTCAAGACTAGGGTTAACCGTTATATTTCACTCATATACACATAAATGGCCTCCAACACTCTACCTCGAGTGGCCCCCGAGCCTTGGTTTAAAAAATGTTTGCTTTACGATATTCGTTAAAGTGAATTCTTCTTTTAGTCTCTGTCTATATTTCTGAGATGAGTTATTTTGTACACTATTTACATTATTCGTACTATTGTCCTCATCTTTGTCGCTATATTTATCACAACGTTTCGGTCGTTGTACGCTTCGTCCTTCTTCAGGTGTTTGGAATATTGGAATGAACCCTTTATTTCACTCACTGGGGTAGACTGTTCTAGTTCTACGTGCCATGCCTAATGGATGTCAGTTATCTCCTGTTAATTCCCTTCTCCAAGTTCTCCACCACCTTAACCGGGTATTGAACTCACATTCTTTGGGCCCTGTCACTAGACCCAAAGAGTTAGTTAGATCCAGTGACAGGACCAAAAGAATATGAGTTCAATACCTGGTTAAGGTTGTGGAGAACTTGGATAGGGGAATTAACAGGAGATAACTGATAACTGACATCCATTAGAAACATGGCACGTGGAACTAGAACAGTCTACCCGAGTGAGCGAAATAAAGGGTTCAGTTCGACATTCCAACCACCTGAAGAAGGCTGGAGCGTACAACGGCCGAAATGTTGTAATAAATATGGCTACAAAGATGAGGACAATAGTTCGAATAATGTAAATAGTCTCTTCTTTTAGTGTAGATTAAACTGAAATGAAAATTTAACAAAATTAAAATGAGTTCGAACACCAGTCGAATCCACTACATTTACTAAATGCTAATACCTTTGGGAAAAGTATGAATCCTCTTCTCTTCTATGGATAGATTGGATTCTATAGCCTTGGGTGGCAACTACCCTAGGAGAAGGAAAAACTGAATTCAAAACCGGCTTCGGCTCTATCAGGCTATGGGGATCACGTTTCGTTTGTTAACCTACTTAGGGAGTCCGTCCGTCTGTCCTTCCTTCCTTCCTTCCTTCTTTCTAAAAATATGAACTGTTGCAAAAATCCAACGTACTTTTTACCTGTTAAAAACAGAAATAGTGATTACGCAAAAAAAATTGAACATTAGTGCATTGGCTTTTCTGACTAAAAATTTCAGAAGAAAATTAAATTAACTACATTTCCAAGTGACAAGACCAAGATTCCTACAATTTTAGTGAATTTCATAAATTTTAGTGAATTTTGGTGAATTTCGTGAATTTTGGTGAATTTAGTGAATTTTAGTGAATTTTGTGGATTTTGGTAAATTCCATAAATTTTAGTGAATTTCGTGAATTTTGGTGAATTTCGCTAATTTTGGTGAATTTCGCAAAAAAAATGTTTGTTTTTGCAATGAAAAGAAAAAAGTTCAAAGAAAATAAATAAATGTTTAGCTTATTAAGGGAAGTAAGTATAAGTTTATTATAAGGATAAAAGCAAGAATTTCTGTGAATTCCTTAAGCCGACGGCAGCAGTGAACTACCGCAAACTCAAAACGGAACTAAAAAGCAACATTCCCAATGGAATGAGCAGCTTCTAAAAGAAGATGGAATGAGATGCAATATGAAGAATTTGCTTCCCGCCAATCTTACAAATGGTGTGTTTATGCCTGCTTCATAAATTCGTGCTTTTACATCGATTCGAACAATGATTAATAGAAATATTAACTATTTCAACCACTAAGTCGGCTAATTTGTCTTTTATGAACTTAGTCTGGTATAAGGCTAAAAATGTAGAGCTGTCTTCCTCTGAAAGACTGTTAACCAGTATTCTGTAGCAAAGCATTTTTTATAAAGTTTTTTTGCTAAGCTTAGCTTAGTTTGGTACAAGGCCAAACTTAGGCTGCACCAAGTGAGAATCGAACTCACTACTAGCTTGTTTATCATTACCCCACGTTAAAGTACCCTTATGTTATTTGCTCGTCTTATTTTAGTTTTAAATATCCGCGGTCAGTTTGATAATATTAAACAAGAGATGAACAGTCTTAACATGAACATTCTAGGTGGATGTGAAATTTCTGGTATACATAATGAGAAAAGAGGGACCGGAGAATCTGATACTCACGGGTCGAATACAGGGAAAGAGAGACAAGAGAAAACAACGCGTGACATTCCTGACGGGCTTAAGCAAGTGGATGACAGAACGCGGTCTTGGGGATGAAGCAGACGGAAGGAACTTGTTTGACAGTTGCAAGGGATAGAAGGAGGTGGAGAGCCATGATCGCCTACGTCTTGAAAGGACATGGCACATAGAAAGAAAAAGATAAGGTCATAAGTATATACGTTTCAGTGAGAATCGAACTCATTACTAACGGTCAGCCAGACTAGCTCGCTAACCATTATACTACACATTATCTTGCGAAACTTGTTTTAACACAATATATTTGTTGAACGAAGCCACTTTTAACGCATGATTACATTTAGAAAGGTTCAACTAACAAGCTTACAACAGCAATACAATTTTCTTATGAGATATTTTTAAAATAAAATTAAGGATTTTTTTGTCGTTTTTTAGGAGTGGGAGTAAATCCGTTGCAAGAATCTGAAAACAGGAGAAGCCTTGCCCTTGCCGTCTCATTTTTCTCAATTTCTCTTTCAATGTTTATACGTCGTCTCTCCACATCTCGCCTGCTCCCTAACCCTAATCCTTTCCTCTCTTTCCCTCCTTTTAACTTTGCCTTGCGTATTGTCAATTAACCGAGGCCTTTCCAACTAGAGCGGGTCAATTCCTTTGATCTTTGGGTGACGAACATGGGGTGGAGCGACGTTGTTATAAAAGTGCACGACATAATCGTTAGGTTGCCGCAAAGTAGAAACAGCCATAATGCATTCAAGTCGCAACACGTTCGATATTTGTCTAAGAGAGGAAGAGAGCCAGAATTAGAGAAAGAGAATGATATATATATATATATATATATATATATATATGCGCAGTACTTAGTGGAAAGCGTTCAATATCAGTGATAGAGCTAACATATTCAGTTGTATGGATATGAGTTTGTGACCCTGTGTTTCACGGTTTTGCGATCACCATACAAACAAAGGTTTGTCTGATGACCGCAAAAGCGTGAAACCCAGGGTCACAAACTCTTATCCATACAACTGAATATGTTATTCTAACATATGGATAACCATTTTTGGTTCTCACCAGTCGAGGTGCAACTAAATGCACCGAAACAAGGTTACAGTGATTAAATTGTTTTTGTCTATATGAAAAAACTATAATATATATATATATATATATATATATATATGATAACGTATAGTTTTACGGTATGCTATATTTATGGGTTAAAGTGGTCAATATCAGGGATAGAACGTATGTAAATATAAAAGTGGACATTGAAGTCAACACCCAGAGGCGACAGTCTTTTTCATCCTTAAACACTATGTCAATCGTCAAGCCTGACGTCTGCGTATAAGCATGAAACAGACTGTCAACACTGGGTGCTGAATTCAATGTCCACTTATACTATATATATATATATATATATATATATATATATATATATACTATTGCTCTACACTTGCTATTGAACACTTTTTAAGTCAATGCTATGAACGTTTGAATTTATATTCTTTTCGTTCTCGTTACATTTGAATATATATATATATATATATATATATATATATATATATATATATATATATGTCGATAGAGAGAGCGAGAGAGCTAGTTGTGAAAGAGAGGAGGGCAGTGGAAAATATAAACTGAAAGCGAAAATAGGAAAAAGAGAAATGAAAGAGAGGCGAAAAGAAGGAAAGAGACGCAGAAAGAGAGAACGAGTAAAAGAGAAAGTTAAAAATGAGAATATAAACGAAAGAGAAGAGAATAGAGGGAAATCGTGATAGAAAGAGGGAGACAGAAAAAATATCCCAAAAAAAATGAAAGTAAAACAAGCGTTTTTGATTTGAGTAGAAGCAACCCAAAAAATAATCTTCGCCTGTGACAGGATTTGAAACGGCATCACCCACTTTAAACATTGCCCCTTTAAAATCTGACAGTGAATTATCTGATGCATTCTGACGGGCGGTAATTGATGTAGAAAGATTCGGATATATATTTGACGGGTACGTATTTAATTTAGATGACAATGCTTCCGTTTATGTATGGGAAGAGCTACAATAATTGAAGCATGTGAACATTTTTAACACAACGTTAACCCGCAATGAGGATCTCTCTCTGTATCTATCTATCTATCTATCTATCTATCTATATATATATATATATATATATATATATATATATATATATATATATATATTATATAAAAAACAGACCACTTTTAAGGCTCCATTCTATTACAATGGAGCCTTAAAAATGGTTAAAATCTGTTTTCTTTAAATTATTAGCTCTGAATTAACATTGAGCTCTCAGGATTTCATCCTCCTTCGGATTATCCATACGGATTACCAAGATTTTCGTTTTTCGTTATATATATATATATATATATATATATATATATATATATATATATATATATATATATATACGCATGCTGACAAAAGCACACGAAAATGGAAATAGATTGAAGAACACACAGAAGTCATTAAAAGATAAGCATGCCGATAACTACTCCATCATTTCTCGAACTAATCTTAATTGTTTAATAACCCTTCACGCAGAACTTTTCACTGCTAGTTCAAGAAAGACATTTGGATCCCTAACACAAAAAGAAAATGTCTCATATCGAGAATATTTAACATCGAAAAACATGAAGAAAAAAATCAATTATTTTTTATAATATGTGGAAATCTCCATCCTTTGCCTGATGAGGGTTGCTAGACCGGAAACACGTGTAGCGAAATTATGGAAAATAAAGCATAATGCTTTTTTCAAAAATCCACATAACAACCAAAAACGTTTGCGGTTTCTCTCTTATTTTTAATATACACACTTTTCTCTCGTTGGAACTACTATAACCTCTTCCTTTATATATATATATATATATATATATATATATATATATATATATATATTGAACACTATGGTTAACATCAAGCTGCGAGTCTGTTTCATGCTTGAACGCAAAAATATATATATTAGAATTACATAATTCATCGAGTCTAGAATAAGAAATTTCAACAGAATGCGGAAAGCACTGGACGGCCGTTTCGCCCTATATTTGGGACTCATCAGCAGTGTGCATCCACTACCGAGAATTGAACCCGGACCGTTACGATACGACGCAAGCGTCATGCCAACTGTATCTTGTCTGTCGTCTTTAATGAAACATGTATAAATGAAGGATTGCTGCCTAAATACGCAATATGTGTATGTGTGTGTGTGTGTGTGTGAAATGGGAACAAATAGAATCCAATTCAAACGTTCGTAATATTCAATTTAAAAGAGGGCTCAATACAAAAGTAGAGCAATGTTCTTTACTTTAGGATATTACATGAAAAACGTGAAAAAAAAAAACGCTACACAAATCCAATCCTGTTTCTATGTGTAGTAACACATCTCATCAGTAAATAACTGGTTAGTAGACAATTTATTGAGATTTAAAAACAAGATACACCTTCCTTTTCACTGGAAAAGGAAGAAAAGAAAAAGAGTAAGAAAGAAAGACTCAAGATATACTCTCTTTTCCCGAGAAAAGGAGGAATAAGGAAAAAGAGTAAAAAAGAGGAGAGAGGAGATAGCTGCAGGATTTGTTTTGTTTATATTCAGATCACTAATCAAAATGGCCTACGCTAAGTTCAAAGTATGGGGAGAAACAGAAGTTAAGAAGCAATCATGTTTAAAATCGTAAACAACCTCTAGACATAATATTCGATAAAAATGTAACTTTGCTACAATGTTATACATTAGATATATGTCATTTCCTATGAGAGAAGAAACGTAATTTAACAATATACTTGAGAATCGACATACCCTGTGAGTTAAAAGTTAAAATTTCACATTTTATAGTTGGCTTTTTAAGAAATAAATGGAAAATTTAAACAAATTGATCTAACGAAATTATTAAAAATATATAGATCTTGTAAAATTATTTAAATATATAGATCAAACAAAATTATTTAAACATATAGATCTAATATGATTATTTAAATGTATAGATCATACAAAATACAATGCAACTGTTAACTAAAAGGACTTATATAGGGTGTTAATAAAACCAATCAATGCAAAATGTCAAACTCCTATACCTCTATACTAAATATTACCGACAGTACTAGAAGAATAATGTACAAATTATACCACGTCGAAATTGATCTGACAGAAAAATAGGCTTTATATGGTGCAACAAGGTTTTTCTAAAAAGTAGGAAGAAGCAATTGCCAAATTTCAAAGTATATTCAAGATTGTAGAGTCAAGGGTATATGTTTACAATTAACCGTTAATTCAAATCCTTGATTTAATAAATCATCCCTATTCAAGGATCTGAAAATCTTCATTTTTTCCGGTAAACACAGAAAACAAGTTTCATATAAGGATCGCCATGTTCTTGCCAATTTTGAAATTTTCAATTTAGCTTTGGGAGATTTATTTTCATCTTTCAACCTCCAAAAATATTTTGAAAGTGAAGTATTATTTCTATAAATATTATTAGTAAAAGACGATATGTGTTGATATCACCGGGTTTTGAAAGAATTCTTAGTACTACCGATATAGAACTTTTCAACCCTCTGATTTTCTATTGTAGAGATAGAACAAAGATACACAAAGGATCCGATTAAACATTTGTTTGACAATGGGCATTGGTTAGGATTCCTACAATTACATAGGTTAGTATCATTAACAATATTTTCATTTGTACTTGCATTATGGTTAAGATTATTAAATTGGTTTAGGGTTCGATTGTCGTGCAACTTTATGATTTTCTCGAGATTATTGGTGCAACTATAACTAAGTTTTAATGTATTTCGATTAAATATTTTGTTTCTTTTCGGAAAATGTTTATCAATCAATTTGAGAAACTTATGGCCTAATTTAGTATTTACTAATTGATGAAATGGGGGGGGGGTACCAGATAATCTTCTGATTCCTATTTCTTTTCTTTGAATTACATTCATCATATTTTCTAAACTGAATTTCGGCGCAATTATACCCGCCATTCTTTAGAACTTTGTTGTGCACACTGCTATGTTTCTCAAACACATCTTTGTCCGATGTTTGGTTGCTGATCCTACGTTCTACAGAGGAAGGAATTACAGATGGTAGTTGATTGGAATTGGGGTGTACCAACGGGCTATAGCAAGTCTAATTCGTCATCTCTTCCTCGCCGAGGGTCATTGGTGCAGTTATCAGGGGTGATTTTATTTTGCTTTTTAATTAGGTGTAATGGTTGTGCGTATGTTTGTAGAGTTATAGGGATGTTTTATTTTCCGAACACAGTCAGCACATTCTGTCCGTGTTCGTAGTTAATATTATTAAGTTTTGGCTTTTTCTTTTTTATTGTTAAGGCTTCCATTGTTTTTTAATCTTTTAACATATGCACAAGCCATACACCCAGTTAAAAAGCAAAAAAAAATAAATAATTCTTGATAATGGCTAAAATTATAGCCGAAAGTGATCGGAATTACATAACATTTGGACAATTTCTACACACTCCGTGTACAGAAAAGAAAACACTCGTTCGAACACAAAAAATGAAATAAAAAGTTTAATCATAGTATCTTGTCTGTCGTCTTTAATGAAACACATACACACATACATATAGATAGATAGATAGATAGATAGATAGATAGATAGATAGATAGATAGATAGATATGATGGGATGGGATGGGATGCTTGTCTAGTTACTGAGATTAGTTTCGTCTGGTGCAAACGAAATGCGAGATAAATCCAAGTGGTGAATGCTTACCACAAGCATTGGTGTGAAATATAAAATCATCTCAACCACACGATAAACCACTAACACGCACACACACGCGCGCGCACACACACACACGTATGTATATAGGAGGAGTACTCGAAAGTTCTCAGGAGAACCCACCTCACAAAAATCTCTTCATTGTCGTTGCAAGAACTTTTTATTTATTTTTTCTATATTACGGAGCATTTTAAGCCATTATCAAAGAACGATAGAAAGAGATAGGGAGTGAGATGGTATGTGTGCGTGGAGGAGGGGGGTGTTTGGCTTTGTTTGATTGTCACTTGATGTGAACTTCTAAGCAGAATGAAAATAGATATTTGTTACGTTTGTCTTCGTTTGGCACACCCAAGATTTTAGGGCACTCGGTGTGGATCGATCTGTTGAATTCATACATTGACGCCAATTTGCCTTTTTGATGTAGCTTATGTTTACTCAGCGGTTAATTAATATAGCTTTAGAGAGGCGTTATGCACGCACGCACACACACACACAGACACACACACACATACATATATATATATATATATATATATATATATATATATATATATATAAAAGTGAACATAGAAGTCAACACTTAGAGGCGACAGTTTGTTTCATGCTAGATGCAATCGTCAGGCCACGAGTGCTGTTATTTTTCTCGGCTATTTATATATACGGGTCAGTGATGCATTGTGGGTAGTCTATTTTGGCGTTTATTTTACCGGAAGTAGTTCATTTGTTTATTTATTTATTTGGGTTAAATTATTTTACTTGTTTTTATTTATTTTTCATTTTTATTTTTATTTTTATTTCTTATCTTATATATTTATTTATTTATTTGTGTTTATTTTAATCGGTGTTTTTATTAACATAGTAAACATTTGTTTATATCGCTTATTTAATAGTTTTGTTTGGGAAGATAATTAAAGCTATTTATTCAGTTTTGGGGTTGATTGTTGTAGTTTATTCTAACTATTATTTTGAGGGGACAGTTTTTAATTTGTTTATTACTTCATGTATTTATTTGGATGAATTTAGGTCAATTTATTTTACTTATTATTTATTTGTTATACTGTATATTTTCTCTTTTTGGTTTTCGATTTTTAAGTAACGTAGGATTTTTTATCGTTATATAACAGTTATAGGTATTTTTTTCGTGCGATTTTTGTTTTGATTTTTATAGTCTAACTAATATTTTGGTCATAATGGTTTGCTAATTTGTTTATTATTTACTTTATTTATTTGGGTTCATTGATTTTTTTTCTTCATAAATTGATCGTATTGCTAATGATGGATGACATGTGGAAACTTAAATAGAATTTAAATAAAACCTTAAAAAAATATAGATTTACTTCTTTTTAATCCTTTTTACAAATTATTTCTATCGCAAATACAATAATTTTTTAGAAAGTGCACCCGAACTTTATGGACACCTTATGGACATATATATGTATATATATATATATATATATATATATATATAATTGCCAAATACAATTTTTAACATTAAAACACTATAATCCCAGTATAATTTATAACTACGCTAACATTGTGATAACACCAGATATATTATAATTCAAATTACGTAACGGTCAGTTCATACTCAGCACCTGAACATTGTGTTGTGCCTGAAACTCCGAGTCGTGCTAACGATGAGGAATATGTATATTTAAATAATAGCTCTTCGTCAGAATTGAGCGCGCTGGCTGCTAATTTAACGTTTATTCACATCACGTATATAATACATTAAAAATTCTCTTTCTCTGCCGTTAGATTAGGGTCTCTGACTGATGCCACATCGGTCAAGTTCCGATCCTGGCTTGAGGTAATTGGATGTCTACCACACTGATGAGTTGTGATACAGTGAAACAGTCTGTATGTGGGTATTAATTATGCACCAACCCAATACATTCACACGCGCGTGCGCGCACACACGCACATATTTGTGTGTGTGTATGTATGTATTTATATATATATGTGTGTGTGCGTATGTATGTATGTGTGCGTGTGTATATGTTCTTTCCTGTTAACTATTTAAGCAGAAAAAAACTACTATATATATATTGAACACCTCGGCGTGGTGGAATGGTTAGCAAGCTAATCTCGCTAGATCAGTTACAACTGAAAAGTGATTTCGATCCTCACTAGGTGCCCCATCCTTTCGGCCTTGTGCCACATCTAAGCTACGCTTAGAAAATAACTAAATATATATATATATATATATATATATATATATATATATATATATATATATATATATATATATATAATTGATTGTGACTTCTATCCTTACTAAGTGTTGAGCGACATCGATATCTTGCAAAGCAGCAGTTGGCAAGTTGTCTTCGCTTGACCATTGCTGATGTCATGAATTCGATTCTTACTTGAGGCCGCAGCATTTTGCTATTTGCCTGATTAAACAAAACGCAGGAAATCTTTACATATCGATCGTAATGTACATATATAAATATTGTATTGAATTCGTTTTAAGAATGATGTATTTCTGTTTCATAACATTACAGTGATGTCTTTTTAAATTGGCCAGTCAATTTTCTAATGATTTGGTTTGGTTTAATTTTGTTTTTGCTTAAAGGCTCATCAACTACTATAGGATTAGTTAAGATCAGGTAAAGATATTGAATCGTGGTTATTTTGTACATAGCTTGATGCTCTATATGGATCCCTGAAAAGGTCTTAAAGGACAGTTTAGTTCTAATACAATTTATTTTGTATTCAGTTTCTGATAAAAGTTGCTTATTAGAGTTTGTATTATTTTTCGTGGAAATCTTTATAAAGTTTGAAGGGATCTTTTTTCAGTTTCCAAAATATATTAAAGGTTTTATTTAGTTTTATTGGGAGTTTCATTGTTTTATATTTTGGTATATAATTTGATTTCCTTTAAGAAGTTAAATATATTGTTTGGTTTAGTGCTTTGAAAGAGTTTTGCATTGTTTGCTTGATAATACTATATTTGGGATTGACTGAAATGAAATCAATTTATGAGTATATGTTCGAGGTACTTGACATCTGTTGCATGATGGGAATTTCATTTTTGAGTTGATGTGAATGTGTCAGACGTGTACGTCTTATTCGGAGTTCGGATAAAACTATTTTCTCCCGTCTTATTTTTCTGAAACCTGGGAGCTATGTTTTGAATATCGTATAGTTTTTTTTTAGTTTTTAAGTCCCATATTGTTAGCCATTTTGTTTTTATATATCTTCTCAATTTCTTTCTTATGCTTTGTCTTTATGTTGATCGTTTTTGGGGGTCGTCTTTAGCTAGTTTTCTGCTATTTTACGATGGCATTGGCACGGCTTGATTGACAATTTTATGTCTAATCCGACACAAGGTAATCTTTTTTTATGGAATTTATGGCTCTAGCATAGTAAAGAAGCTATTAAGTTTTTACTTATGTTCGGAATTCTTTAAACTCTGCCAATTTTAACACAATGTGTCTTTTATATTGTTGACAAGCAATTGAAAGCGAATATAATTTAATGCCAAAGCTATACTCTTTGTCGATTGCTTTATACATACCAATTTATGGAACACACAGTCAGAATCGAACTGATAATGAATAGTTTACAAGATTAAGTCGCTAGTAATTGCAAAACAAAAATGTATTCTTCACCCCAAGATTTTAATTTGTCATTTGTTCATTTTCGTTTCTCAGGCAGGATTAATCGATGTAGCAGAAGGTTAAAATATATCAAATGATGATTAGTTTCTTTCTCTGCCCACAACAATAGACTCACCCGCTGTATATATTAACAACTTAGTCTCACCGCCATAGAAAATCCATTCTTATAGTAACGCCAGTTTGATTTGAATTGGAGTAAACGTCGTGTTGCAATAGTTATCATACTAACGTATAAATTCTGACCTGACACAAGAGTTAAACATTAGCCAATGAGGGTCTGCTAAGGCGTGGCTAACGCCCCAGTGCTATAAGTGTGGCTATGTTTTCTCCTCATTTTAGACAGAAGTTGCTCAGCCCCGGGGATCCCAACTCTCCGGCAGCACCTTCCTCATTGCACTAAGAGAGGAGGGGATCGGTGTAATACCGATGTCAACGTGACAGTTAACGCGGAAGCTGGACAAAACCACAATTTTTGTCCTTGGCCCATATGAATGAGTTTCTGTATGAAGCTCCCCACGTTAAAACGACCTTGTGTCACATCCAGCCTTGGTAGGGAGGCCTGGTAAATATACTAACGTCTAAATATATCTGATTTTTTTTTTCTTCTTAAAACAAAATTCATGTCATAGATATTCAAATGCATCCGTGTTTTTTTTTATGGCTGAGGGCTATTATTTATTCAATTGCTTGGGAAATAATTTACGAACACATTGAAGTTTCGAAAAATTGTTTAGCATTTTTAAAGTTTTAAAATAAAGGTTCTCAAAAGAGGAATGAGAGTAAAATTAAAAATAGCGGCGAGGAAAGATTTTTTCCTCTATTTCTATGGTTGCTGCTTTGTTTTTTTCTGCATTAAAATACATTTAATGATAAAATGTTATTATTTTCATGAATAATTTCTCTAATCGCACGACTGAAATCTTGAGATTAAAAAAATCTCTTGAGTAGCAAATTTCAACTCAATGCAGTAATCTTTTTCTGCTTAAATAGTTAACAGGAAAGAGCACACACACACGCACACATATATACATACATACGCACACGCATATATATATATAAATACATACATACACACATATATACACACACACATATATCACATATATAAATACATACATACACACATGCACACACATAAATATATACACACACGCATAGATAAATACACACATACATACATACACACATACATACACACACCCATACATAAATACACACATACATACATACATACACACATACATACACACATATACATAAATACACACATATACATAAATACACACATATATACACACATACATACATACATATACATACACACATACATACATAAACACATACATATATACACACATACAACATACACACATACATACATACATAAACACATACATACATACATGCATACATATATAAACAAATACAACATACACACCCACATACATACATACACACACATACATACATGCATACATGCACACACATATAAATAAATACATGCACACATACATACACACACATATTTAAATGCATATATAGACACATACATGCATACATACACATACTCACACATACATAAATACATACACACACATACATACATACACACACATATAAACACACACACGCATACATAGATACACACATACATACATACATGCACACCTACATACATACATACATACCTACACACATGCATACATACACACATACATACATATATATATATATATATATATATATATATATATATATATATACACATATGCAACATACACATCCACATACATACATACATACATACAAAAGCCAAATAAACTATGTCATTTTAAATTCTGTATCCATGATTTATATTCAATGACTGCTTCTCTCTTAAAAATCACGACTTATTTTTTCATCCATTCTTTTCCCCCGTCATCCGTTTCGTGAGAACAGCGCACAGATTCGTCAGCATTTCTTTCAAGGTACGACACAACTATTCTATGTGCCGTGTCCCTTCAGGAAGTTGACGGTTATGGCTCTCCACAATTTCCTGTCCTTTGTAGCTCTTACTAACTTTTGTCTTTTTGCTCCCAAACCCTGCTTCGCCATACATTCGATCAAGCTCACTAGGCAGGCGTCATGCGTTGTTTTTCTCTGTCCCGCTTGCTTTCAACATGTCTTGTGAGTATCATATTTTCCAAGCCCTCTGTCCTCATTATGTGACCCAGAAATTACATCTGTCTCTTCCTGATTTTAAGCATAAGTGTCTTTTTTTTGTTGCCATTGTGTCTTCGTCGTTGCTCACATGTTCGATCCATGGTATTCTCAGCATCTTTCTGTAGAACTACATTTCTGTTGCTTCAAGACTCTTCTCCATCTGTTAGGAGATTGTCCAGAATTCACTGCTATATAGGAGGACTGATACTACATTACACTTCAGTACTCGTATATCAATAACGATGTTTCTTAATACTTTGCTCGAATCTATTCCAATGCACCTTCGAATTTTGGTGCTACACTTAGGTCCTCCGTTAATACGCTTCCCAGATTTCTAAATTGTTGAACCTGATTTTCGTATCTCCAGTCTGTAATTTCTAAGTTAGTCTGTACCATTTTTCAGTCTTATTCTTGCAATTTATATTTATTCTTTCCTTCTCGCTTTCCTTCACTACATTCTGTAGAAGTTCTTGTAGTTTGCTTTTTGTGTCTGTTATCAACACTGTGTCATCTGCATATCTTATGTTGTTAAGACTGTGGCCGCTAATAATGAATCCTGATAGAATTTGTAATTCACTTAGGGTGGCCTCCCTTTATAGGTTGAAAACGTCCGGTGAGTAGATACGCATTTATAATTGATGATCCTTACTTGTGGTCTCTTCAATCGACACGAATCACGAATAAATTGAACTTTTATTGTAACTAGTTATTCCATTTGAATCAATTTGAATGGAAAAAAAAAAAACATCAGAAAGAAACATCTTAAAACAATTAGCGAAATCTTTTTTTGTACTTCGAGAAGGTACTGTAAAAATGGCGAAATTTCTTTTGGGCTTCGTATCAATATCGGTGGATAAAAATATCTCCAGTTTATTGATCAACTTATCAAATTATTATGTAGCCAGAACCAGATTAAGGCAGAAGATAAACTTTGGGCCTCACAGACTAACGACGTCTCTCTAACAGTGAGAGTGCGATATGTGGAAGTGCGGTATATTTTTCTCTTGCAAATTGCCATTTCGAGACGCTGGCTCTGCCAATGGGTTCCTGTCTCATCTCTGAGGATGATTAACTTTTTATGGATTAATTATAATTTATAAAGGAAATTATAAATATTTTTATCGATATTTTAATTATGTTGATGATGATTTGATAATTTAAATGATAAAAAGTCGAGTTCCAGACGTGCGCAATATAGCTGTTATATTTAACAATATATATTTAAATAATGATTTTCTCTCCCAATACACTATATATATATATATATGTATATATATATATATATATATATATTATGAAAACGAAAACTTTAAAAAGATCATGGTAATATTTTATTTCATTAAAACCGATACTACGTTTTAACTCATCAGACCAAAGATTTAACATAATTATTTGCTCTGTTATTACATTGTGCTCTCTCTCTGGATCCTCTTTGGAATTATCCATACGGATTACCAAATAATATCATTATATATATATATATATATATATATATATATATAGAGAGAGAGAGAGAGAGAGACAGAGAGAGACAGAGACAGAGAGACAGAGAGACAGAGAGAGAGAGAGAGAGAGAGAGACAGAGATAGATAGATAGATAGATAGATAGATAGATAGATATAAATGATTGAGAAGAGTTTGTCTGTTCACTAAACAGTGCACACCATGTATAGTCCTGAATGTTGAAATTTACTGATCCCAGTGAAGATATTTTCCATTTCTTATTAGAAAAATAATAACTACCAGTTACAAGGTTTTAGTGCATGACTACAATCTCTAAATTACTTGTTACTAATGTCTGCACAGGATAACTAGTTTTATGCCTTAAAATACAATATCACAGAACAAGGTACCCCTACATTTATAATAGAATATTAAAGACGGCTTGAGATAAGTCGGAAGAACTTAAATGAAGTTTTTTTATTTTTTTTTATTTTCTAGAAAGAGACCCTGCTAATAATATACAGAAATGTATTAAATGCCTAATATTTTTTTCTAAATTATCTCTCAGCTTCATTTTATAAAACTCATCAGTTAATAAACAGTGTGATAAAAACCATGAGAATTTTTTTTTAATTTTCAACACTAATAAAAAAATAAGAATGCAAGAATTTCAAGTATCTCAAAATATCTTTCTGACAACTTGTTAAAATCCACTTGTTCAACATTTTCAGAAAGTTAAAAAAAAAATAACACTAAATACTTTTTTGTGCTAATTTCTATTTTTATGTTTTGCTGAACATCAAATATTTAAAACTATTATCTCACTATGAAAACATATGATAATTGCTTGACTCAAAATATTACTTATGACTTTCCTCTTTTTATTTATCACTTTGTTTTCAACACAGCGAATAGTTTAACAAGGATCGAAATAATAATAATAATAATAATAATAATAATACCTCATTCATCATCCCAAAGCTGATGTTGATCGACTGTATGTACCCAGATCCGAAGGAGGCAGAGGATTAGTTCAACTAGAACTGTCCTACAAAACTACAAAATTGGCCTACAAAGATACTTGGAAACTAGAGAAGACTGGATGATGGTATGCTTCAAGGAACATGAAAGTAGTAAGCGTCTTTACTCCGTCATAAAGGAAGCCAACAAATTCAAAATGGAGTTTCAAATGGGCGCTGAAATACAAGTAAAGCACAATACACCGGTTGAAGATGCAAAATACTTAAAAAAAGAAAGCAAAGACAAATGCAACCGACCAGATACAGAAACAATGGCAAGATAAACCGCTTCATGGCCAATACTCTGCCCGTACCAAACAAGCTGACATAGACAAAACCCGTACCCATCAGTGGCTATATAGTGCAGGGTTGAAAGCTGAAACTGAAGGGTTTATCCTTGCTGCACATGACCAATGCTTGTTAACTAGGAATTATCAAACACATATACTAAAATATTGTGTTAGCCCAAAATGCAGATTCTGTGATAAATATCCAGAAACAATTGATCATCTTGTATCAGGTTGCACGATATTGGCACCCACTGAATATAAAACCCGGCATGACACATTGGGCCAACATCTGCACTGGAAAATATGCAACTTCTACGGGAAGGAAACTGAAAGAAACTGGTATGAACACCACCCAGACCTGAATAGGACCTGTTACAATTCTATGGGACTACACAATACACACTGACAGAACAATCAAAGCCAACCGCCCAGATATTGTTATTAAAGACCACAAACAAACAAAATGCCTTCTTATTGATATGGCAGTCCCTGCAGACTGCAATGTATCTTTGAAGATCTTCAAAAAGCTGTCGAAATACAAGGACCTTGAAAACGAAATCTCAAAAATGTGGCACATGGGAACATCAACAATCCCTGTTGTAGTTGGAGCCCTCGGATTGGCTGGAAAAGATCCCAGTAGACTCATTGAAGGGATTCCTGGAAGTCCATGCCTCAAAGAAATACAAAAAATTGTTCTCACTAGTACAGCCCACACTTTACGAAGAGCTTTATCTATGTAATTTTTTTTTCAGTGGAAAGTGTCATGATACCATTTCTAACCTTAGAAATGTGCAAACGCCAGATATCAAAGGAAATAATAATAATAATAATAATAATAATCCATTGGAAAGTTGCGTGTGAAGTATGCAGTCTTCAGTGAGAAAAGGAATAACACAGCTATAAACCTGAGAAATCCTCTAGTCAGAAAAAGATTTTATGGTATTTTTCAATACGAACAATTAATAAATTGGTGTACAACAAATCGGACATATTGATGGGGATACTCGGATATTTGGCCGACGGACATTTGGCCAACGGACATTTAACCGAATGGATATTTAACCGAAAATGTAATGGCGTACTTACATGTATGTCACACTCTTTATTGTAATCTCCTACATATATTTATATTTATTTACTGCATTAATTTATAATTTTTTACAGGCTTTTTAAAAAAATCTATTCTGTATATATTATATATTAATTCAAATTACTGTAAGATGATAAGTATTTTGAGAAAAAGCACATTTTACTACAGCAAAAATCTTTCACTTTTAATGATCATTATCTTAAAGGGATGAACTAGCTTTTATCTTACTGTTAAATACAAATTTAAATAATTAGCGGTTACTTTTTACTCAAATATACTCAAATAATTTTAAAAATACTAATTTCAATAAACAAATATTAAAATGAGAAAACTTTTAAGTTTAAATTTAGATTTAGTAATTTAATCACTTGAAATTCAGTAGTAATTATTAGTCCTATTCTACTTTATAATACTTCAACTATTGCTTGGTACTATTTTTAATTGTACTTTTTCGGTGAAACATCCGTTCAGCCAAATATCTGTCCGCCGAATGTCCAGCCACGATTGATGGGAGATAAAATAAAAAAAGAAGGGTTAATAAATAATCTATTGTGTCCTTTTGGTACAATGGAGAAGATCAAATGAAAGAAGAGAAAATAATCAACTATGACCCATTGAAATGTGAACTCGTAAGGCTTTGTACGTTGTAGAATACCAGTTGTCATTAGTACACTTGTTACAGTGACTGATATGTTTTTAGAAAAGAAACCTGGATAAAGAAAACTGACATTTATTGCCCAGTGGAACTGTTACAGATTGAAACCGTCTTAGAAATGGTAAGAATATTCCGATAAATGATGAGTCAGAGGAAAATTGCAAGAAATCGAAAGCTTCTGGCTGGGGTCTGTTCTCTATGCGTTAATAACCAGATATCAAGATCTTATCTAAGAAAATACTGATTATAATTTATTCTACAATATAAAATAAAATGCAGCATTATATAATTATCAGTTTCTCCCCTTTAATAATGAACTATTCCGACGTTATTATAACAAGAGACATTACTCGATTCCAAAAAGCAAATATATTGTCAGTAAATAGGGGAGATCAGGCAGCTAATAGAATGTCTTTTTTTATTTGCTTTGTTTTGCGTTGGTTTACTTTGGATATCTTAAAAACCCAGACATTTTTCTTATCTGCGGAGAATAGAGTTAACTGTATCGATAAAAATCCTGGGTCTGTCATGCAGATCAAAATATTCCCGGCATTTCTTGACAATACGAGTAAACTAGTAAATAATAATATACAACTGTTTGTCTACTATTTTCATTATTTGGACTATTGTCTTCATCTTTGTCGCCATATTTATTACAAAGTTTTCAAGTTGTTGGAATGTCGAACTGAAGCCTTTATTTCGCTCACTGGGGTAGACTGTTCTAGTTCCACGTGCCATGTTTGATGGATGCCAGTTGTCAGGTATCTCCTGTTAATTCCCTTCTCCAAGTTCTCCACTCTCTTGACCGGGTATTGAACTCACACTCTTTGGGTCCTGTCACTGGATCTAACTAACGCCTTTGTCCACTGTGTCATGTGTCCTTGAGAAAAGAAAATTTCTGGGTATTATAAATCTAATGTCTTCAGCAGCCTTTTTTTTTTACCAGTGCTCATATTGCAATTTTTGCTGTTATCATTGCATGTTTTACCAGAGCTCATATTGCAATTTTTGTTGTTATTATCGCTTTTCTTTGGCACTTCTTATTACTGGTTCCCATATTGTATTTATTTTTATGCTTGGTCGGCTCAGGAGATTTTTGTGGCCTAGCATATGTGCTGATTCCTTAAGCTTATAAATTTCCCAATGGTGTTCTTTGTCTATGATCTCAACCTGATCCCACAATAATAATATATAAATAAATAGTCCGAATAATGTAAATAGTGTGCATAATACCTCATCTCAGAAATATAGACAGAAACTGTTTGTCTCTTGCTTTAATAATAATCCACATGGATAAAACTCAGTGTGTATCCATATACATATGTACACTCTTGTGCAAATAAAGTAAAACAACCGCTTTAGTTTCCTTTCTTTCAACATACGGTTCGATTTAGACCCATTGGAGTGACAGAGTGTAATCGATTTTTATTTTCTCTTAAGATTAGGTTATTTGCAGTGGTGTACAGTAATACGAATCTATTTACGGGTGTATGATGAATTTCTTTTGGCCTTGAAAAATATTGCGTCATCCGTGATTGCATCAAATTTTTATTACGCCCAGACAATATTGTCTCGACTGTTGATTAGTTGTCCTACGTCCATTGTATGCGATGGACGTTAATCCAAGAAAGCATACGAAAATTTTAACGCTGCAGGAACACTCTGGCTAGCCTTACTAGTGAGCAAATCAAAGTACTATAGACTAGACCGGAAACTCTCCTGATTTAAATCCAATCGAGAATCTGTGGTCAATCTGCAAGGAACGACTTCGTGGAATGGACATACGAAGTACTAACATGTGCACTGGGTCATGTTTCATTAGAAAAATACGAAAAAAAGTAAATAATAACGGAATTATTCGCTTTATTTCAATTAATTTGCACAAGGGTGTATCTATCTATCTATCTATCTCATTCTGTTCATATCTATCTATCTATCTATCTATCTATCTATCTATCTATCTATCTATGTCCGTGTGCTCCTTATCTATCTATCTATCTATCTATCTATCTATCTATCTATGTCCGTGTGCTCATATCATTATCTATCTATCTATCTATCTATCTATCTATCTATCTATCTATCTATCTATCTATCTATCTATCTATCTATCTATGTCCGTGTGCTCCTTATCTATCTATCTATCTATCTATCTATCTATCTATCTATCTATCTATCTATGTCCGTGTGTATTCCAACAGCCAAGCAAAATACTAAGGAAATGGTAAATTACGTTAGAAGCACAAAAAAGAGTACTGAACTGTTATGTTTGTTTTTTGATCATTTCATCCTAAGCATTCGAGAATGCCGCTATCTATCTATCTATCTATCTATCTATCTATCTCATTCTGTTTACATAAAGTACTAGAGACTGACCCGGAAACTCTCCTGATTTAAATCCAATCAAGAATCTGTGGTCAACCTGCAAGGAACGACTTCGGGGAAAAGACATACGAAGTACTAACATGTGTACTGGGTCATTTTTCATTGGAAAAATACGAAAAAAAATAATGGAATTATTCGTTTTGTTTCAATTAATTTGCACAAGGGCGTATGTTTATATGTGTGCGTATAATACTTTTCACATATCGCACAGATACTACGCTCTGATCCTAGGAAAGTAATATTTTAACCCTAACAAGCGTACACAGGTACTACATTGATCCTAGGCAGAAATACTATACGTAAATAATCCCATCATTTTTATGGGTACAATGACAATTCTGATTGTAGTTCAAGAAAATAAGCTAAACAATGAAAAAAAAGCCAAAACAACATGTAC